TCTCTTGAAGAGATGGCTAGAACTATGCTCAATGAGGCAAACCTTCCTAAATATTTTTGGGCGGATGCCGTGAGTACCGCGTGCTACGTGTTAAACCGAGCCGTCATTAGACCGATACTCAAGAAAACGCCCTATGAACTTTACAAAGGAAGAAAGCCTAACCTTTCCTATTTTCATGTCTTTGGATGTAAAGTTTTTATTCATAATAATGGAAAAGATAACTTGGAAAAATTTGATGCTAAGTCGGATGAAGGAATTTTCTTAGGTTATTCTCTTCGTAGTAAGGCATATAGAGTGTTCAACAAGCGTACTAAGACCGTAGAGGAGTCTATTCATGTTGTCTTTGATGAATTTGATGCTCGCTTGGCAAGAAAAGGTATTGTTGATAATGTTGCAGGTTCTTATGATGATGATGAAGAAATCATTAGGGAAAAGGAACCGGAAGAAGAGAAAACGTAGGAACAAACGGAGCTTCCTAAGGAGTGGAGAACATTAAAGAACCACCCGATTGACAATGTCATTGGTGACATAACGCAGGGAGTTTCTACTCGTAATTCTCTTAGGAACACAATTAATCACATGGCCTTTGTTTCTCAAATTGAACCAACAACCTTTTTGGATGCTATTAATGACGAACATTGGTCTATGGCAATGCAAGAGGAGCTTAACCAATTTAAACACAATGATGTTTGGGAATTGGTGCCTAGACCTAATGATCATTCCGTTATTGGCACAAAATGGGTGTTTCGTAACAAACTCGATGAAAATAGAGTAATCACTAGAAACAAAGCTAGGCTTGTAGCTAAAGGCTACAATCAAGAAGAAGGCATTGATTATGAAGAAACTTATGCACCGGTTGCACGTTTAGAAGCTATTCGTTTATTACTTGCATTTGCGTCTACGATGGATTTTTAACTTTATCAAATGGATGTTAAAAGTGTCTTCCTTAATGGTATCATTCAAGAGGAAGTGTATGTCGAACAACCCCCGGGTTTCGAAGAATATGAGTTTCTCGAACATGTCTTCAAACTCAAAAAGGCGCTTTACGGTCTCAAACAAGCACCTCGTGCTTGGTATGAACGGTTAAGCAAATTTCTTTTGGACCACGAGTTCAAACGGGGTCAAGTCGACACTACTCTTTTCATCCAGAAAGATAACCAAGACATCCTTTTGGTTCAAGTTTACGTAGATGATATCATATTCGGTGCTACTAACGAGATTTTGTGCAGGGATTTTTCCGATATGATGCAAAGTGAATTTGAAATGTCGATGATGGGAGAATTAAGGTTCTTCCTTGGGCTGCAAATTAGACAATGCAAAGAAGGAACATTCGTGTGTCAAACAAAATATTGCAGGGAAGTGCTTAAAAGATTCGATGTTACCGAATCCAAATCCATTGACACACCAATGAGCACATCTTGCTATCTCGACAAGGACGAAAAAGGTAAAGAGGTAGACATCAAACGCTACCGAGGTATGATCGGCTCTTTACTTTATCTTACCGCGAGTAGACCGGATATCATGTACTCCGTTTGTATATGCGCTAGATATCAATCATGTCCTAAAGAGTCGCACTTGGTTGCGATCAAAAGGATAATGCGATATCTCGCGGGCACGTTGAACGTAGGTCTTTGGTATCCCAAAGGTTCGACATGTCATCTTGTTGGCTATTCCGACTCGGATTTTGCAGGTTGCAAACTCGATAGGAAAAGTACCAGCGGTACTTGCCACTTATTCGGTCATTCGTTAATCTCGTGGTTTAGTAA